TAGAATCCACTTGTGCACACTTGCAATTCTTCCAGGAAATGGTATGGAGAGGGTTATTTCCCTCTTTTCTTAATCATACTACATCATGCTGTGTTCAAGACCCACTAAAATTTGCTATTTTGGGAGGCCTCCTGTCCATAGATTCGAAGGTAGACCAGTCTATGTGTTCATATGCCCATGCTTCAGGGGAACAATACCAGACTCCCTCGTGTCTCACCCTGGGCCCTCCATGTGAGCCTTCTGTTTTTTCAGAGCAAGTGTGTCGCCAAAAAAAAGACGTCAGTAGGTTCTTCTTCTAGACATTTTCAATTATTAGGAGTGAATAATTTATCAATTTATCGTCTCCTTCACTTGTCAGAGAGGGAATTGGCTTTTCCTTCCTAGAGAAGGTGATAGGAAACTCTAAGCCAATGGATTTTCCCAAGTATCCATGTCCTTTTTCTTCTCCCCAATTATGTACTTAATTTGCGAGAGAAAGGTTGATGAGATTAGTTTTACTAATATACTGTAAACTAATCTGAGTTTTTGGATGCAGAAAGATGACTGGCCCAAAGAACAGGCATTTCTTTGAACTCAGCCTGCAGAGCCTTTAGCACATTTTAATTTTAACTATGAGCTCTAGTCTAATTCTTGCATGTTGCACTCACGAGGTTCTCAACTGGGAAAAATAACTCCCCGCTGTAAAGCGTTTTAAAATATGGGGAGAATATTTGGTTGTTAGCATGCATAGAGAATACTAGAGACACTTTGTGGGTAAGAACAGGAGATCCTAAGTATTCTGAAATGTATGGGACAGTCTCGCCTATGACAAATTGCCCTTCTTCAAATATAAATTGCATATCTCATTGACAACATCACACTGAATATCGATCTTAATAATTTATGACCGTGAGATAAATTTACAAAGTTTTTGTTTCATTTGAATTTAATTGATTTCTCTTAATAATGGCTGTCTTTCATGTTTCTTGACTATTTTCATTGTGAATTGTAAACATATAAAACCATACATCAGTTGAAGTTATTTGCCTGCTTTTAATTAATTATATATTTACATAGCAATCCTTTTGTAAATTTGCAACTATAATCGTTATATTTGTGTTGCTTGTTTTAACTTCCTTTAATAGGGTGCTCATTTAACATCTTTAATTATCTCAGGAACATAGGTATTTTTGTATGTGTGGGCAAGTAGCTATCCTCAATATATTATAAGGGAGAAGTAAAGACTTACAAGTAAAGACTTACGATGCTATGTACAGACTGTGAAATGAGTGGACTTGAGAGGCTAAATCATTCATCTAGAAACATTTTACTGAAGTTTGAGTGGTTTTATTCTACCACAAGTTTTCTCGGCGTTGATACTGCTGATATTTTGTGGCAAGATAGGCTAAATCATTCATCTAGAAACATATTACTAAAGTTTGAGTGGTTTTATTCTACCGCAAGTTTTCTCAGCATTGACACTACTGATGTTTTGTGGCAAGATAATTATTTTTTGAGGGGACTGTCCTGTGCATTGTAGAATAACAGCATTCTGTGCCTCTACACAATGGCTGCCAGTGTACATAATCCCCCACTTGTGGAGGAACACAGTTTTTACAGAAAGCACACTTTCAATGTTGTTTTCTGAAAAGATCAATAGAGATTTTTCGTGAGAAGGTGAAAGTAAATGTTATCCAAGAAGCAATTCTGTATCTATCTTGAATATTTGGTTTGTTTATATGTGCATGCATGTACTATTGATTTTTTTTGTATTATGAAAAGTGCCATTTAGTGTCTGGTGCCAAGTTTGCTCTTTCTGTGCAATAATTTTCTCTAATTATCACTAAATCTTTAACAAGTCATTTTATATACACAAAGCTGTGTTGGTGTGGGTGATATATGGAGTTAAAGTACAGGACACAAAAGGAATGATTTCACATTATTATTATTATTATTATTATTATTTTACAAAATCCAGCATGTTAATAGCAATATTATTGGGGAGGATGGTAGTTCCATGCTTCCCAGTGGAGATAAACAACAGGGCATGCAAATGTTTGTCTAAGGTGACATAAAAGAGAACATTCTTTGGAGAAACAGCTGTGAAATGGGCAGGTGTGAAAAAGATATTCTCAAATTTGCCAAATGAAAGTAATTCTCTAAATGAGGGAGTTCTGATAACTGGTTTGTATAGTCAAAACGCAACGTAAATATGACCATACATCCCCCAAAGTTGCAGCCATTGTCATATTCGTAAACTCCTTTTTTTTTTCCTAGTTCCACAGGAAAGTAATAATTACAATCTAACAGTGTTGCTGATAGATCTTGTCTATCCTAATTCTGACAGAGATGTGTGAACAAGGGACTTTATTACATATAGACACTAACGTATAATACAAACTCAGATTACAGATGTTGAGTATCTTAGATATCTCTAGGTCTATCACATTCATTTAAAGGTAAGCTCAGCAGAGGTAAAATGATCAAGATTACATAGCTTGTTATTCCTTCTAACTCTAGTATTATTCTTCCTATTGAGAGTACAAAAAGTCTTCCTTCTCTTACATTAATTTCTTATTGATTAAAATCTATGAAAAATGGAATCAGGTATGTTAATCTTTTGTTTAGAGACACAGTAACTTAACTATTATGTGTTTCTTGTTAAAAATATCATTTTAATGAGAAAAGCATGCCTATTCTATAGGAATATATGTAAAAATTGTACAATATCATCCATGATTATTTTTTACATGTGAAAAAAATTTCTGTCTGATAACCTATAGAATGGGAGACAATTTTTTCAATATCCATCTGACAAAGGTCTAATATCGAAATCTACAAGGAACTTAAGCAAATTCATAGGAAAAAAATAAAAAGTGGATAAAGGACATGAACAGACACTTCTCAAAAGAAGACAGTTATGCAGCCCACAAACCATGAAAAAAAGCTCAACACGACTGCAAATCAAAACAATAAGATGCCATCTCACACCAGTCAAAATGGCAATTATTAAAAAGTCAAGAAACAACAGATGCTGGCAAGACTGTGGAGAAATAACTTTCTTCCCTGTTGATGAGAATGTAAATTAGTTCAACCATTGTAGAAAACAGTGTGGCAATTCCTCAGAGACTTAGAACCAGAAATACCATTTGACCCAGCAATCCCATTACTGGGTATAAAGAAATATAAATCCTTCTATTATAAAGATACATGCACATGTATGTTCACTGCAGCACTATTCACAATAGCAAAGACATGGAATCAACCCAAATGCCCATCAATGATAGATTAGATAAAGAAAATGTAGCACATATACATGATGGACTATTATGCAGCCATAAAAAGGAATGGGATCATGTCCTTTGCAGGGACATGGTTGGAACCGAAAGCCATTATCCTCAGCAAAATAACACAGGAAAAGAAAACCAAACTCCACATGTTCTCATAAGTGGGAGCTGAACAATGAGAACACATGGACACAGGAAAGGGAACAACAACACACATGTTGCCTGTTGGGGATTTGGGGGAAGGGAGAGCATCAGGATAAATAGCGAATGTATGCAGGGCTTAATACCTAGGTGATGGGTTGATAGGTGCAGCAAACCACCATGGCACATGTTTATCTATGTAACAAACCTGCACATCCTGCACATGCATCCTGGAACTTAAATTAAATTAAATTTAAAAAGAAAAGACAAAAAAATTGGTCTGAAACCCTCACAAAGCTTTCTCACTGGTGACACAAATCATAGATGAATGCTAAACATTTCAATAGAAAAAAAACAGGACATAGATCTGAGAACAGGGATAAATATAGGGTTCTCTGGTTGAAAAAAAGTTGGGATTAATCTGAAGAGAATTATTCAATAGAATCATATATACCAGATATTTAGGGGATTTAGGTAACAGCACCATCAATGTGAGTTGAAAATATATTATCGTCACCAGTGGGAGTAAGTTTAAAGGAGAATAAAAAGAATGAGTAGAGATGTGGAAACTGGATGTCGTAATGAATATGAAAAGGTTTCTTAGAAGTGTTTCCTTAAATTAGAGAGAACATCATAGGTATCTTCATTTAAATGGCTGCCACGTGTCTTTCCCTGACAATAAGTATCCAAATGTTCCTCAAATGATTTCTATCATGTTCTCAAGTCTGACGCTTATGTCCCAAGTCTGTGCTATATATTTGCAATAGTTACCATGCCCTTTGTAGAATTTGGATTCCAGATGTACAGACTGTGAACCGGGTAAGGAATAAAATTGGTAGGAGAATGGTGAATTGAGACTTTTGATCCTTGATCTATGTTCCTGAATTTAAATATGTGTGTGTATTATATTTTATAATATATATTCCATATAATAGATACACACAGACATATATATTCACAATAGTTTTTATAATTTTCATTTCAAGCAAAGATTAAAATTTTTATGCTTAAATTGACTTTCTTATTTTACTGCAACTTCCTCCTACCAGAACTAAGAATATAATGCTATTATTTGGATTCAGACATTTTCCTTTAAACCTGTGACAAGCCTAGTAAAATAGCGCCAGAGTCATCAGCATTAACCACATGTATAGATGCTTTATTCTTGCAACATTTCTGCATGAGGAGACCTTAACCTGCTATTTCTCAGGCATTGTATCCTATAGGTGGCATTCAAGAAACTGACCAAGTTTCTAATGATAGCAGTAGATCTCACTTCTGCCTTAGCTACATACGACACACCTTTGACAAGAAGGGTCAGCAAAGTACCTTTAAAAAAACACTTAACAGCAAGATGGCTGGGGGTTGTTCTGTTTTGTTACAAGTGCTGGTAAATAAATCATGAGAAATAATTTTTAAATACAGAAGGGTGTGGCTGTAGCCAATAATTCTGATGAAAATCAGAAAGAGAACCCAAGAGGGTCCCAATAGTGTTAGACTTTTTAAACAGTGAGAGCTGTGTAGGAATCCTTCTGTGAATCATAAAAATAATAAACGCTGAGCCCATTGGAACATAATCTCAATCAGCAAGATGCCACTGCTTTCCAGATTTCTCACAGGGCCCTGCTAATTCCATGCCAAAACTGGCAGTGGATTTCTTCCTTCTAATCTCCCCTAATGCCTTATTCGATCATTGTCACTGCTCTCCGACCATGCACTGTCCCTTCAGACTCTCATTTCCCAACTGAGTGAGTCAGAGGAGCCCGGGTGTCTGCAGGACTTAATCTAAGACCACGAACCACCTTGTTCCAAGTGAGAAGAAGGAAACAAGAAAGGAAGGAGAACCCTGCAAATTTTCTGGCAACCTCTTTATCTATTGGATTACTGACTTGAGGCAAACAAGGAACAGAGATATGAAGGGTTTGAAAGATTTCTCCAGTTGATTGGCAAAGGAGAGCAGGCTAGTGGGGAGGAGGACAGTAGGAGGAGGGTGAATTGTGCATTTCAGTGCGCTGTAGGATGGCGTCGCCTCTGCCCTGGCTGTGCATTGTTCTGTGGTGAGTAAGATTCTTTTTCCTGGTTTTTATTTTTATCTCAGAGGAAAGGAAAAGTATATACCCATTGGGTGACTCCTATATCAAATCATGAAAGAGGCCAGAGGTGGTGTAGCATGTATTTGTAACAGGGTAGACTAGAGTGGTTTAGACAAAACGTCTTCTCTGAGCCCGGGAGTAAGGATCACTGACTCTCTACTAACAGGCTAGAAAATGCCCAAGGGAAACTCGAAGATGAAGGCAACCTCTACTCAGAAAACATCAGTCGGATCCTGGACAACTTGCTTGAAGGCTATGACAATCGGCTGCGACCGGGATTTGGAGGTAAGAAGCTGCATCTTTGCTGCACAAACATCTGTACTCTCCTTTCCCTATTTCTTCCCTTGGAAGACCCAGAAGAGTCAGAAATGAGGTAGGGGGAAGGGGCAGGGGTACTGGAGAGAAACCAGGTGTATGTTCTCATGCAGTCTCTGCCTCATCCACCTTTAGTGGCCTTGTTCAAGCTCTATGAACTCTCTAACCCTCATATCCTAAATTGTATTGCAGTTAAATGATCGATGTTTGCCTCATAGAGTTGCATGAGTGTAAAATGAGATTATTCATGTAAAACAGTTTTCTTAGCATTTTTCCATTAAAGCCATTAATATACATTAGGTATTATCATTTTCTTTAGAACTAATCCAGGTTCTTTCATTCCTTAATGTTCTCCCAACTGACTAGAATAAATTCAAAATAAGGCCACTGATTTGAGTTTTCAGCGTTGAGAGACCCAAAGATCCCCACTACTGGAATGCAATAGGATGTTTGCAAATATTGGCTATGACAGGGGTTTTGGTGGTAGAGTGCTAAGTTCGATCCCCTTAACATCAATGGTGATAATTGCTCCATCCCTCTGGGCTACTTTCAGGTGCTGTCACTGAAGTCAAAACAGATATTTATGTGACCAGTTTTGGGCCCGTGTCAGATGTGGAGATGGTGAGTGAGCTCCAAGTGAGTTGGATATTTTCATTTCGGGGAGGAGAGTGGAGTCCCGAAACTAACGATAATGGGCACTGCCACCAAGCTTGGTTCCAGATTCATGACACAATATGTGTGTTCATGCTGGGAGGGCATGACCATTAGAGCAGATTGCTGGCTTGATCTTCACATTTCACTAACGGCTTGAACATTTTAAGCTGAGGGACTTTTGAAGATTATATCCTCTCTTCCATCCATGTATTATGCACTTATTCTTCTGTCCAAAGAGAAAAGTTCTTTCCCCTTCTTTGCGAAGCCTTATCAAATTTATTGGAGGAGAAAAAAATCACACATATCCTATGCCATGTAAAAGATTATTGAATATCTATGAAAGTTAAAACATAATTGTCTTTTGTGGTAACATCATTATCAGTATATTTTATTAAAACAGAAAAGAGGTCTTTTGGAAGGGCTAATGCTCTCCACTTTTTACATTGAGGATGGACCAGTAGGTGTTCTGAAGACTCTGTTCCAGGTACAGATGGCTGTAGCATTCGTAAGAGGGTATTTATAGTTAGTGGCAATGAGAACTTGAACTCATCTTTTAGAACAAAATGTATTATTCACTTACAGTTCTCAGGTAGCATTTCTCTCTAAAACTAAAATGTAAATATGAATGCTGAAGTAAACATAATTGTCTTTAAAGAGATTTGTCATTAGGTTTTATTAGGGAAATGTAATTCTAAATAAACAGTTATTGGAGACTTTTTCATTTTCTGCTTTTTTAAGTTGGCAAGAAAGGAAGATAAAATGAAGATGTAAAGAAAGGAAAGAGGAAGGAGTAAAGGAAAAAGAGAAAGGAATATGGAGGAAAAGAGGAAAGAAGTAAAATAATAAAGAAAGGGAAAAAGGGCTTTATTCAAGAGCTAAATATCTTACTATACAAGGAGAAAGAAGAGTCAGCATTATTCAGAATCCTAGATTTAGAATCATATTTTTCATTTGTGTTCTGAGCCACTCCAAATATAAACAATCACAACAATTTGGTATTGCCTTTTAAGTCTGGGTATACTTAGTGTTCTATCTTATGCTTGTGTCTGTTTTTGCAGTTTATTTGTACAATAGATCTCTATTATATCCTGGGTCATTATTGTGTGAGTATATTGCTTGTCAAATTATATTTTTAAAATGTAATCACTACTTGCCATAGTAAGTTTCATAAAGGAATTTAAATAGTAGACAAAGCAATTATTGGCAATACTTTGATATAATTGCAAGTTGTCATCATTGACTTTTGCGTTAGCACTTATTATAATTCTTAAACATTTTAATGTTATTTCATAAAAGCCACAAATTAACTCATAATTTTGATTATGCATTCTTAAATGATACTCTCTTTAGAATAATCATGTTAACATTTGTTTTTATGTTCCCTGAGAACAATATAAAATAATTTTGATGTGCAGCTATAGTGTGTTTATCAAGGAAAGTTTATCTATATGTAGAATTTTACTGAATGATACTCTGATGCTCTGAGAACCCTTTGAGGGTGAATGAGGTGCAAAGGGCGTTAGACTAGCCAATGATAGAAAGGCCATCCAGCACAAAGCCTAAACTAAATATTTCCATAAGTCTTTTTTCTAAATTAAGGAGTGACATATTGATAGATGGAAATATGGATGACTGGATAGATAAAAAGGAAGAATATTAAGGAAAGTCAAGGTGGAGGAGGGAGGTTTACACATCACAGCACTGTCTTTTATAACATTACAAGCTTTCTGAGTTTGAGATGAATAGTGACTCACTCAAAATATAGTTTTGTGAGAAATTGTTGCCTTAAAAAGTTGCTTTATTGCTTAAGCTTTGAGATTGGGTGTATAGGCTAGTGAATAAACTATTCTTAGCCAACTATCTCTCCAGAGTGCACGAATATTTTATTTTCTCTTAGGAGTATACGATGGATGTTTTTTTCCGCCAGACTTGGACTGATGAGAGGTTGAAGTTTGGGGGGCCAACTGAGATTCTGAGTTTGAATAACTTGATGGTCAGTAAAATCTGGACACCTGACACTTTTTTCAGAAATGGTAAAAAGTCAATTGCTCACAACATGACAACTCCTAACAAACTCTTCAGAATAATGCAGAATGGAACCATTTTATACACCATGAGGTGAGGTTTCTCCAATTCTATTTCCCTTGTCAAAATGATATGTCCATAATATTAATGCAGAACCATTGATTTCAATGTTCCCAGGCTTACCATCAATGCTGACTGTCCCATGAGGCTGGTTAACTTTCCCATGGATGGGCATGCTTGTCCACTCAAGTTTGGGAGCTGTAAGTTATAACAGGCTTCTGAGAGTCAAATAATATATCAAGAGTACATAATTACTTGGTTTTAGTTGATACTGGAAATCAAGGAGGAAATATCATTATGACACTATCAATGTAATTCTAGGAATATACTTAATCATTCTGTGAGCCTCATAAATTGATGCTTTAGTCATCAAGATTAAAGAAAACATTAAATAAAATTTATGTTTTTATTTCCTTTTTTATAGACAATGTGCACTTTGAAGTAAAAAAAAGACAACTAGCCAAAGTCACTGCTATATTTAATTTGTTTCAAATATTTAGATGCTTATCCCAAAAGTGAAATCATATATACATGGAAAAAAGGACCACTTTATTCAGTAGAAGTCCCAGAAGAATCTTCAAGCCTTCTCCAGTATGATCTGATTGGACAGACAGTATCTAGTGAGACAATTAAATCTAACACAGGTAAGCATTTGACCAAGGGATGGAAATAATCCTGCAAGATGACTCCAGTGCACATTTTCAAAATATCTATTTATTTTTTATTTGCCTTAGCCATTCTCAGCTAAGCATGCTATTTTGAAGTGATGAGTAGCTTTCCTTAAAATTCATTTTGCAACCAGGCATATAAAGATTTGTGTAATCTTGGAATAAGTAGTTTTTTTTTTTATGTATATGATATAAAGAACCCTACTGATGTGACTCTTTGTTCTATCTTCTACTGATCAAGTAGCTTTCTCATATACTGAAATGTACCTTTATTTGTTTTCTTCCAGCCCACGTTAATTCAAAATTGTCAAGATTTATATTCAACTGCATTTTTTTTGCAGACTGTCAGCAGTAATAATACTGATGTATGTGTCTTCCAACAGGTGAATACGTTATAATGACAGTTTATTTCCACTTGCAAAGGAAGATGGGCTACTTCATGATACAGATATACACTCCTTGCATTATGACGGTCATTCTTTCCCAGGTGTCTTTCTGGATTAATAAGGAGTCCGTCCCAGCAAGAACTGTTTTTGGTATGTCTCACGTTTTGTACGCCATGTACGTTCATCTTCCACCTTTCATTGCTTGCGTATTTTGAGTAAATATTCACACCAGTGCGTGTTTTCAATCCACAAAGAAAATATGTTCCTGTCTCATCCAGACATATGTATCATGTTAAATCACTGTCATTATATTACAAGTTGTATGGTGAATCAACAAAAAATTTGTCTCAGCAAGAATTCTGGCTGGTTTCCTATGACTTTCATATGTCCTATTTGCAGTACTTTATCTTGATTTTCTTTGTCGTAACAAAGAAAAAGCAGAAAGGTAAAAACTGCATGCAAATCCATGAAAGCAAAAGACTAAGATACTGAATACACTAATACATAAGTTGTATCCTCCTTTTATTAGGTTGAACCATATAAAAATGTCATTTCATGAATTTTCTATGATTCAACCTACATATTTAGTTTTACTTACATAAAATCACTACTAATTTTGATAAAGCAAAATTAAATAATAAGAAAAAGAGCTTTGTCACCAATGTGAAAACATTGATGACAAAATCCAGTTTTCCCTGGCTTTCATGATTATAAATTTAGTAGTCTATAAGTCAGGACTGAATTGAATTGAAATTGTGAATCTTGATTTTTCAGATATACTATGTTAAAATAGATCTTTTTGAAAATTACAAAAGAATGCCAATATAATTATGTAAATCATCAATATTATACATTTCCTAACTGTATAAATTTCCCAGGTCATAGTTCAAGAAGGAAAACTGCCAGGAAGTGAGTGATAAATTTTATTTTCTAATGAGTAAACATTATACCTTAAAATCTAGTTAGAAATATAAACAAATTGAATAACCTAAATTTATGCTAATATTTACACTGGATTTATTTATTAACTATTAAGATGTTAGCTGGTAAAATTGATCTGAAATGTAAAGTTTTTTTCTTAAGTGATAATAATTTGTTATAAGATCTCTCAAGCCTAAACAACTAGAACTATTTATGACTTAAATTTACAGTAAACTAGTTCAATTCAGCAAACTTAAAATTTTTTGAGCAGTGATAATGTATGTCACTTCACTAAGTATTGAAAAGATTTCACTCCACTTCACTAAGTATTAAAAAGTATTGAAAGATACTTTACTAAATAACTAAATATAGAAATGATACTACTTATGATAATAATTATGAACAATTATAATACAAAAATTTTTTTTAAAACTTACTTTGCCTTGGCAGAGTGTTTTATCTTCTCTACTGACACATTCTCATTTGATTTTGCCATAGGATTTCCAGTACTAATATTACATTTCCTATTATTTTTTCTTTTAGGGATTACCACTGTTTTAACTATGACCACTTTGAGCATTAGTGCCCGGCACTCTTTGCCAAAAGTGTCATATGCCACTGCCATGGATTGGTTCATAGCTGTTTGCTTTGCTTTCGTCTTCTCTGCTCTTATCGAGTTCGCAGCTGTCAACTACTTCACCAATCTTCAGACACAGAAGGCCAAAAGGAAGGCACAGATTGCGTCCCCACCCCCAGTGACAATATCTAAAGCTACTGAACCTTTGGAAGCTGAAGTTGTTCTGGTAATTGTTTGCCTTTTCTATAGTTATCCACCGTAGGAAAAAGCAGCCCAAGTAGTGATCAGAAACAACTGAAGTGTCCAAAAGTAATATGAGTTGAGCACAGGTATATAACTCTAGTTTCAAGAGCAAGGCTGGTTTCTGTTCCAACTTCACAGAGAAAAGCTAAGGAACAATCCTTCATTTATCTTTGCTCTAAACTTTGGCATTCTTCTTTCATCATCCTCACTTATACAGGCAGATTCCAGGCTCTCAGAGGAGACCAGAAAATTCCTAGCCCTTAGATGTTTCTTTAGAACAGGATCACTTATACCAACTAGGGGGAGTAAATTGAAAAAAGCTTTTTGCTAATGAGGTTTCAGAGTCTGCAGGAAAGAAACAGGGACTTCTACAGAATGGACAGTTTTTCTTAGAAATCTGCTTGCTGCTTTATTTCAAGAGGGCAAGACATCTGTGAATAATGAGTAATAGATTCTCTGAATGTTGAATCATAACCCAAGAATTCGATTCATATTAAAACATTTTCATACTCACATTTGTAAATTAAATATATGTATATCAATGAGTTTATATTCCACACCTTACATTTAGTGAGAAATAGTTATAAATTTATGTTAAATTTGCTATGGCTAAGCTCTGGTCCCCAGAGGTTTTTGAATAAGAAACAAATGGTAATATTAATATTTCAAGGGCCATTAATATGCCACCAGATTTAAATGTTGCATACAAGTAAATTATAAAAACAATTAAGCTGAGCATACTTCTTTTAATGAATGATAAAACTGATTGACAAGCATACATTTTTATTTTAATACAAATCTTAATGAGTAGCTCTTTGAAAAGAGGAACATTTTGCTCTGTGAAGTTAAGTAAGGCAGATACTTTGAACTGAAAATATTTTTACGATTGATCAATTCTAGTAAGCATTTTCATATCTGAAAACTACATGCAGCCCAGTAATTTGCAGTTTAGCTTTATGATAAAGTTATAAAGCTATATGTTTTTTAGTTTTCAAAATCAGTGGCACTTGTTGACTAAAAAGGTGAAAATTTGTATTGAAATTTTTGTCTTTGATAAACCAAGAAAATTGTTTGAGAATTTGTATTTTCTCCAAGAAATGAGAAGCCATCCCCATGTTATGTAGAAATATACAATTTAAACAAGTTTTTTTTTTTATTAGTCCTCATTTTAAAAATAAGGAAAAAGGAAAAAAATGACATTCAGTGACCCAGTTTAATTATCTCCTTTTACAAGTGGGAAAACAAGAGTCTACAAAAGGGAAAACATTAGTTTCTAGCTGGTAGAAATCTAGGAATTGATTTAAAAACTTTGTATAAGCCATGTATGGTGGCTTATGCCTGTCATCCCAGCATTTTGAGAGGCAAAAGTGGGAGGATCAGTTGAAGCCAGGAGTTAAAAATCAGCATGGGCAACATAGCAGGATGACCCACATATTTGCAAAAAAAAAAAAAAAAAATTACTTGGTGGTGGTGACATATGCCTGCAGTTCTGGTTACTCAGGAAACTGAGGCAAGAAAATGGCTTGCATGCAAGATTTTGAAGTTACAGTGAGCCATGATCATGCCACCGAACTCCATTGTGGGCAACACATTTAGATCCTGCGTCTGTGGTAATAATATAACAGTAATAATAATCAGAAGAAGAAGAAGAACCTCCGATATCCACAATATTACAGAGGCTGAGGCTACCCTCCCCAATAATTCTGTAAAGACTGAAACATACCAGGATGCATACCACAGGATAAAACATGTTGAGAATGTAATTGAATTCATTCCAAAAATTCTTCCTTTGACTTAAGAATTTTTTTTTTATGTATGTATAGTTTGAAAGGCCACCAAAATATAAATTTTATAACAAAATATGCTAGTCTGCAAACTTGGTCCACAATATTAAAACTATTTTTTGTCATGATAAAGTCCAAAGGTTTCTGAGAATTATTTCATGTTTGTAGAAATAAGTGATTCTGTTATAGGCTATCTGTATGCATGTACGTATATAATCTACATATTGTCCATAGATCATATACATATTAATATATATCTATAAATAAAAAAGTGCTTATCAGAATTCAGCTTACCAGTTTCTTATATGAGTAATGTAGTGAAAGTAAAAATAAAAAGGTAAAAGCTGGTCAAAAACAGAAAAAAAAGGATTGCTTTTGAATATGCTCATAGGTCAGATATTGAAATAAAAATAAAGACCAAATTTTTTGTTTTACCTTTTTTAAAGTATGCAATACTGAAAAAAGCATGATTTCAAATACTTGGAGAAAACATAATCACCCCCTCAGGCTATTATTTTAAAGGTATAATTTATTAATTTAAGATGGAATTTAAGATCCCAGGTTTCAATATAAACTGTCTTCCATAAACCTAAAATAGTAACATATAATGAGTAGTTCCTCTGGGAAGCTATATTTTAAAAAATGGCATGTAAGTAATCCCCAAGTACTTTTTTCCTGCAGGCAGCATTTTTTTTCTTCTGAAAAATTATATTTCTAAACCTGGTTTTACCCAAAATATTTTTTAAAGGAATACATAGGGAAATTCAGATTTTAAAAGGCTGAAGTGTAAAAATAAACATAAAACCAAAAGTGACCAAATCAAACAATGTAGATCTTGAAGGAATCAAAACTAAATATAGGTGTTTACACAGGACATTTGCATTATATTTGTTTATGTTAAACCTTGGCATGTCGTCTTATATGATGTAGAGGAACAAACATAAATTATGCATTTGCAATTTATACTACACAATGGTATATTTTGATTGCAAGACATTTTCTTCCAAATACCATGACATTTAAAAATACCTATTCAGTCGTAATCAAAACAACATTATGTGAATAAGTTTGACATTGAAATAGCAAACTAATGTGGTGAAGCTGAAATGAAATTAAGTGCTTGGATATTTCATATGATTTTATGTTGTATATTTTAATATGTTCATTGCTTTTCACAGGAAACTACTTACAATGAATGTGGGTAAAGTTTATGTATTTTATCACTTTGATTCTGACCTTGAAGCATAATAATAATAAAGAAACTCAAGCATTTAAAATCCAGGTCTAAAACCCAAAAAGCCACCTTAAAGTTTAATCTTCAGAAATCCTCTATAGACTAATTATCTTTCTGTTTTTAAGACACACGGAATCGGATATTTTATTTTTTTATTATTTCAGGAAAAGAAATTTTCAAGTGTTTTTCCTGGTTATATGGTGATTTTTTCTTACTGTTGTAGAAATAAGTAATCTGGTATGCTACCTTAGCATTAGGGAGTTATTTCTGTCTTCATGAGTTTCCGTGCCTATTAACATGTCTGGAGTATAACTATATACTGCATGTAAGGCCAACTTTGGTCCTTTTGGCATAGTTTGCTAGTTTCTTTGTTTTTTGAAAGGTCGAAGCCCTCATCACTATGTTCCTGACAGTCAATCACTCACCCGTCCCATCTGCACCGCTTCGAGCAGTGTCATTACTCTCAATGTAACTTTTCTTCTTTACACGAGTGTGATGCTTTTTGTAAATTATATAACACAAAATTTACCAAAATTTCATTAGTCAGGACAATAACTATATTTATGCTTTCTGTATTATTTATTCATTTCTATTTTTCCTTTTCATCTGACATCTATTTACTGACTACTTACGCATCACTGACTATTCATACCACAAGTATTTGATAAGTGCCTTGATGTGCCAGGCCTTTTGTAGATTGCTGAGGATATATTAGTGATGGCCTCTTGCCTCATGGAGCTTCTTGTCCAGCAGGAAGACAGAGAGATCAATGTAACTTCATAATACCTTGGGATAAAGCCTGTTAGAGATATGTCATGGGCTGCAGAAGAACCATGCAAAAGTGTCTAACTCAGTCTGGAGGGGTGTTCCTTTCTAGTAGAGTGATGTCTAAGCTGAGAACAGAAAAGAAATTAGCCTGGCTCTATGCTAGAAGGTCTAATCCAATTGGTAGAAAAGCCATAGAGAGGGAAATAAGGTATATGCCCTTCCTGTGCTCCTTTTTAAGGTGACAAGGTGTACTGGGCCATTACCATGCTGCTTTCCTCTATGTAGAGAGATGTGAAGAATAGAATACTGAAACGTTTACCTTGCCTGCTCCAAAGATGGCACAGATTTTTTTTTGAGTACTCACGTTACTCCCTACAGTTAAGGATTGAATTAAGACCATTAAAGACTCTAGGTACTGGAAAGATCACAGTGCCCTTCTTGCTGTGCCATTGTATGATTTTGGGGGAAGGCAGGGTGGATTAGATGAGGGGTGTAGGTGATTAGCCCTTCCCCATACCTTCCTTCAAATCCTGACCCAATACTTCATGATGAACCTCCAAACATTCTAACACGTTTTCTAGACATGTTCCCTAGTACCATGGATCAACTATTTAATACATTGCTTCCAATAAGCTGCTTGTCTGTAGAAATTCTGAAGTTGTGTCTGTTTTCAACTCTACTGGCTGTAACACAAACACAAGAAAATCCAACAGAGTTCTAATTTTCCCCATAATGATTAATATGATTATTTTTGAAAACTGTCAATACTGTTTTCAAAAAAAATATTTTCTCTTGTTTGTTTTGCCCCTCTTTGCTCTTTCTAAAAACAAATTCTTGGTTTATCCCCTTGTTGGGCTACCCTGGTTAGAATATCTCTATTGAGAGGTAACCTATTGCCCTCACCGTTTAAAAATATTAGACTCATTGAATTACATATACAGGTTTGTCTACACACTTCCTAAACACCTTTTTCTTCTATCATATAGTTGATTGTCATAAAGTCCAGTTTGACTCAAAGTACTTTTGCAATATGGCGTTACTTGAAACAAAGCAGTGCTCTATAAATACCTAAAGCAGGATGGCACTCAGCAGCAGGGGAGCCCTGGAAAAATTCAAAACCACAGGTGTTCCACTCAAAACAGTGACAGCCTCAAGCTGAGCCCTCATCTGGACTCTGACAAAAGCCTATTTTACCATCAGCTGAAGCTGCTATGCTTACAATAGAGCAGGCAGGGACTGATGCAAACCTGTAGCTTAAACGGCTCACAGAATTGACTTTCTTTTCATTTTGGAAATTCAACGTGTTCCTCCTAAACTGATGTTCCATCTCCATGTGTTGCCAATTGCCAGTTATTTAGCAGCTGATTTTACAGCATGTAGGGTAGCCAGGCCTCTTGCGTTTCCTTTAGCCTGTTAGAAATTCCCCCAATCACTCCTGGGCTGTGGGACAGTTGTGAATCTAAGCCAGTGATTTCCTATGGGGAGCTATTTTTCCCCAAAAGACATTTGGCAGGGTCTGGAGATACAACTTGGGGTGGAGGTGGCTAACATCATGTAGGTGGAGGCCAGTGATGCTACTCCACATCCCAGGAAACAGGGTTGGTCCTCAACAAAGAGTAATTGGCCCCAAAGTGCCAGTAGTTCTGAGCTTGAGAAACTGTGTCCCAAACCCTAAAGCTGATAGAAAGAATAGCGTAATAATTGTTCAGAGTGTGGTCTGTGGCATCGGAGGGAAATTGAATTCAGGTCCTGCTACGTATGAGCAGGAGTGAGCTTCCTGCTTAAGCCTGAGTTTGCTCATCTATCAAATGAAGATTAACATGACATTGTGGATTTTTTTTAAGAAATTAGTGAAATAATGTTTGAAAATTGCTTTATAATGTTTGTCAACAATAAGCATTTAGAACTGGTACTTATAATGTAATATAAAACTGTATTAAAATACAATGTAACATAATCATAAAACTTTTCACCCCTCTCTTTGTCTACCTCCTCCAGCAAATATTGGGAAATGTTTAGATTTTTTTCATTTGTTGATTCAGCATTTGTTTATTAAACAAATACTGCGTTCTAAGTGCTCGCTAGGCACTGTGGCATTCTCATACATATGAATAATATGTCTTCCGCCATTAAGGAGATTTCAGGCTAGGAAAGGAGATAAGCCACAACAGGAACAATTCTATCTACAAGAAAGAAAATAATAATATCTATAAGAGTCACAATAACTAAGCAGAAAAATGCATAAAGTCTAGAGTAATCAGCGATGGTAGGCGTTAATGAGTTTGATATCAAAAGAGGTGAGGGAAAGATAAAAATGGGTGACAGGTACATGTTTTTTCAGACAAAAGTAATAAAGATAGGTGAGCAGTGAGAATGAGAAGCAGACCTATGTTGCAAATGATTTAAAAAATAGTTATAGCTAAGATTCCTGAACAAAAAATATTTGTGTGTATATATATATTTATATATATACATATATATTTGTGTGTATTTCTGTCTATCAGACATTTTCCTCAAATTATTAAAAACACTGGAAAAGACTTACATAATAATTAATATTTGTCCCTACTTTCACAGATAGAAACTTGAAACTTAGGGAGAATTAGAGTCTATGGCACCTATGGGGTGTTTAAATCATACTGCAAGCAACTAGTAGCTATGAAACTGTAATCTAGGGTTTTGGGCTGTCCTTGCTCTCTCAGCTCCTGGGGAACCCTTCACAGGGATCGTTTGCCAAAGTAGATGAGGAAAAGGGGAGTGCTAATGTAGGAGACCTTTAATTTCAATTTAATTTAATTTTAATTTAATTTTTTAATTTAGGTAAAATGACGGTATCCATTTTACTTAAATTTTTCATGGTGTTTGGTCCTGAATGATACCTCTGATGTCTGGACCATAATTATTTGGCAATCTTCACTAAGTCTTTTGTGACACTGTGACAATGCACAGATTCACAAATAACGGCACCTACAACATCTCTAAAAAGGAGGAGAGAATAAGCAAGGCTTTACATTTTTATGGTACTTAATGTTTTATAGTGACAGCTTTATTTCAATGAGCTAGGCATGCCTTCCCTCGTTCTACCTAAAATGGAAAGAAAAACATGTTTCAGACAGATTACTGCATGCTGTTATAAGTCAAAATGAGTATAGTAAGAAACTCTGCTCTGAAGGCTGGCTTCTTTTTACTCCATCGTAATTCTTAGAAATTTTTGCTAGAGGAAAGTATTTTGGTGTTCCATGTGTGGGAGGAGGATGGCTCTTTTTGGAGGTGGAAACAGTGACACCTTTTGCTCTTTCAGGTAGATAATATTTAATAGGTGAAAATTTAGAGTCTGAGAAACATGATAGAAAATTCTTGAAAAATGGTTCTAGGCTCTCTAGGTGAGGCAGCAAGCACTGAGACAGTTACTCTAGTTCTGTCCCCACACAGCCTGGTGACCCTGGGCACGGTAGTCCTCAACTGTCATCTTTTTTGTTTTGTTTTGTTTTTGAGACAGAGTCTTGCTCTGTCCCCAGACTGGAGTTCAATGGTGCAATCTCCGCCTCCTGGGTTCAAAGTGATTCTCCTGTCTCAGCCTCCTGAGTAGCTGGGATTACAGGCACTTGCCATCATACTTGGCTAATTTTTATATTTTTAGTAGAGACGGGATTTCACCATGTTAGCCAGACTGGTCTTGAACTTCTGACCTCTTGATCTGCCCACCTTGGCTTCCCGAAGTGCTGGGATTACAGGTGCGAGCCACCATGCCTGGCTCATCTATTTTTAATAGAAAGTTTCCCTCCTTTCCTCTTCAAGAGCAGCATACTAGCCCTTCTAATGTTTTAAACTCTCTTCTACCTCCGAAACCTATGACTTGCTTAATTCTGTCCAGGATACCACAGTACTGGGCCAATAGATAAGAACGATAGCTCTTGTTTGGAATTCACAGAGGCGTTTTCAAATCAAATCTTGACTATACTGTTCGTTTTTGCTTTTGGTAAAGAAAGATTTCTCCATGGCCCCTAAAAACGGTGAACTTAAGCTCTCTATGAGAACTATTATTATTTAGATACCCAGTAAGTTTCACGGCAAATCAAATAGCAAAATCAGGAAGGGGAATATAGAAAAGAAGTTTTTGGAGTTTTCGTCCCTGCAGTAAATGTCACCACATCGGCAGGTCATTTTGGTCCTGTGGCTCAACCAGCACAAAGGAGGCAGCTGTCGTATCCTGTTGCTGCAGGGTTTCTGGCTAAAACCACGGGAGTTTGCCCACATGGGTCACATACCCTGCCAGGCAGCAAAGTGGTGATTTTGCTGCCAGGGAGGAAACAAGGCCATTTTACAAGATCAGGGGTAATGCACAGCAAGTGTTTGAAGACAGAGCCCCAGCAAGGAGAAGCTGGTCACAAGGAGGGTGACTGTTACAGGATGCAGACAAGAAAAGATAGAAATCAGAGGAAGGCCCCCTAGACTCCAACAGCATGAAAGGAATCTAAATCAAACAGAACCAGAGACTCTGAACTAGGCCCAATACTTTATAGAACAAAGATGAGAAAAACATTGGGATGGAACTAGCATGAAGTTGACCAGTAGAATTTGCTGCTAGCCCTGCCATCATGGACAAGGCATTTCCCCACTCTGGACTCTAACCTCACTTGCCAGTTATTGTGTTAAACATCCCTTTCAAGACTACGGTTGATAGTCTTATGATTTCAGTGAAACAGGAGGTTTAGTGATAGAAAGGAGCATATAACAATTCTGAGTTTAGTAAATGAATCATTTTCAGTGACTGAGGATAGAGAAAGACCAGTTAGAGAGTTCTGAATGGGAAGTAAGAAGTGTACAATATAGAATTTCTGAGCTAAGAGGCAGGTATATTTCAAAGCATCAACAGTCATCCAATTCAACTTAAGGATATTTATTCCTTGTCACTGGCTTTTGACATACATATGCTAATTTTATTATTATTATTTTTAATCTTAGCTAATTCAAGCTTATGAGTGTGCAAAGATAAGAATGTAGGCTGGGAATATGTATAGAAGAATAGTATTAATAAACCAAGCTGTGATTTTTTGTACTAATTGTCCACATATTCCAAATTGGAATTCACCCCTCTTCCCAGCACACACCATTGCCCACACTCATTGCTCTACAGACTAATGCACAACCAGAAGTGGCTATGCCTCTGCAACCTGGCTCATCTTTCCCTAACGATACAATGCTTATCATAGGTTCTAGGACATGGGACATGCTTTGTGTCATTTGATGATGTATTGAGTAATAGAATATCAGATGGAAGCAAGTAAAATCTTTTACAGTGTATTTTAAGCCTTACTTGGAAAAGTAACACCATCACATACTATTGAGAATTCATTGATGTTTGACCTTACGTAGAAAGTAAATAGTCAATAAATATTTGTCAAAGGTGAAAGAACAAATAAATAAGCAATTAAGCAACATCTATTCTTTTATTTAAGCTTAGTATTTGTCTTCTTTCCACAGCATCCTGATTCCAAATATCATCTGAAGAAAAGAATCACTTCTCTGTCCTTGCCAATAGTGTCATCTCCTGAGGCCAATAAAGTTCTCACTAGAGCGCCCATCCTACAATCTACACCTGTCACGCCTCCACCACTCTCGCCAGCCTTTGGAGGCACCAGTAAAATAGACCAGTATTCTCGAATTCTCTTCCCAGTTGCATTTGCAGGATTCAACCTTGTGTACTGGATAGTTTATCTTTCCAAAGATACAATGGAAGTGAGCAGCAGTGTTGAATAGCTTGCATCCAGGACAACCTGTATTCTATAAGTTCTTGTTTCCTGTTTCCTGTGTGTTGCTTTTTAAAATAGCATTGAGACTTGTGTAGATGCTTCTCAGAACATGAGATTAAATTGGAAATCTGTTACGCAGCTTCAGTAAACATGTGTGCGCAAAAAAGCAATAATGCTACTCCTCAAAATAGAAAGTTGAAGATTGTTGAAAAATATGACTTTTCTGTATGTTAGAGAAAAACTTTATGAGGATAAAATGGGTTCAAGATGAATTTGTCAACCTTTGTTCTTCATCGTTCAATATTTTTAATTGTCACTGTGAATAACATTTACCATAAGGCAGATAAAATAAGAAATGCTGACACTTCCAAAGGTTGCCTTAAAATATGTTTGGTTTGGCTTAGTTCCCAAGAGAGCAAAATATAAATACAGTCTACATATTTATCAGTAGGTTAATACCAGCATGTTGGAGACCTTTATGCTAGTAAAATGGCTTTCAGTGGCATTGTAAAGCCTACATTGAGCTTAGCCATTTGTTTTTAACCTCGCTGTGCTCTTTTACCTCAATAAATGTGGTGTTTGTATACATATAAATTATACATAGCTCATAAATTATGTACACGTATGTACATAGCTGTAGTTGAACTAAAATTTAGTGTGTTTCATCCTACTAAATTCTCCTTTTAAAATAATACATTTATCATATTCTATGAGGTTGTAGAAAAGAGTAGTCATTATAAGGAAGCCTTGTATATTATGACTAAGGTTATCCCTTGTGTTTTCCACATTTCTAATTATGACACTAAATAAAACAACAGTAAACATGGCTCTCTGGATGTTTCTTGAAATTAGAGAAGTATGGAGAAGCAAAGTGGTTATCTCTACCCCAATGTTATTGCCCCATGAACAATGGGACAACCAGACTCAGTTACCTAGCCCTGATAAAAGACTTGAATTTAATATTCAAATAGTTAATCTTTCCTCTGTTTCCTGCTCTATCAACAATGAAACAATGAATAAGACTACTCTTCTCCCTTTCCATTACTCCCGTTCTTTCCTGATGCTTCATTGTAACAGTATTTCTCCCACATAGAATTGTTTTTGGGAAATAGAAACTGAGAGTAGGAGAAGGCATGGGGTATGGTTTGTCTAAACAGACAAACCCCCCATTATATGCTCCTGGGTCTTAAACATCAGAGAGATCACCTTGAGACCAGATCTCAGAAAAAAAAATGTTTTCTATACTACTACTCTTACTTTGACCCAGAAAAATGCAAACCATACTACAGCTAAACAACTTGTTTAATTGAAACAGTACTCTGCTAAGGGTGAGGAGACTAAGGTCTCTGTCCAACTTCTGTATTATTTAGCTCCTTAGCACAATATCTTTGTCTCTGGGAGAATCAGCTATATTCTCATCTATAGAATGAGGGAGCTGATTAGATGCTCTTTAAAAGACCCTTTCATTTTGAACCATGTATGTTTGTTTTGTAATTATTCTTTTCTATCTAAATAAAATTGGTGTAATTATACAGGGTGTATTAAATAATTGAATATCAGGTGGGTGTTAATCATCTTATGTGTTAGGTCACATTTAATCTACTTCACAAACCTGTAAAGAATATACTGCTACACCGCATGTTCTCACTCATAGGCGGGTGTTGAACAATGAGAACACATGGACACAGGGAGGGGAGCACCTCACACTGGGGTCAGTTGTGGGGAAATATGGGAGGGACGGTGGGGGGTGGGGAGCTGGGGAGAGGCAGCAAGGGGAGAGATGCCAGATGTAGGTGATGGGGAGGAAGGCAGCAAATCACACTGCCACGTGTGTACCTATGCAACAATCTTGCATGTTCTTCACATGTACCCCAAAACCTAAAATGCAATAAAATAAATAAATGGGGGAAAAAAGATGAAGAAACTAGGGCTAAAGAAGATGAATAATTTTGTTCAAAATCAAAGAGCATTCAAGTGCTGTAACTGATAAACTCAAGCACTGTGAATCCATAGCTTATTCATTTAACCATACCTATACATGTCCTCATCTAATATGATATGACCCTATTCTTTTTCTCCTCTTGTATTTTCTAGTATTGTCTCACTCGTATGTCACTTTTTGTAATAATTTTCCTGGGGTTCTGACGTTACCTATGTCCCTCCAGCATTCATTCTACATCTCATTCATTATGCTCAGTCAGCATTTATGCTTAGAGCTGGAACAGATAGGTAAAATCAAGTAAAGAATTATAGACCTTGTATTCCTCCCCTATGAAGGGATATTTCAAGGAAAAACTTTATTCAATTGTAAAACTTTCAAATTCTCAGGATTCCAGAGAATGCTGTTTCTCAATGTATCTCATGGGATGGTAACAGTGGTTAAGTGAAAATAAAACAGTTTCTCTAGTTAAAAAACTGGAGGAGAGATGTTGAATCAGAGTGAAACAAATGTCTTTTCCTCTGGACTTCTCACAGCCATGATGATACTTATGTGCACTATAAATCTCTAACACTGTAACATTTCCCAAATTCATGTAATTCTAAGTATCATTTTGCATGGAGGAAATCCTGGGAGTAGCATTTTCCAGAAAACAATTTAGACAACACCACAGTAGACACTATTCTATTCCCTCTGAGGAGGGGCTCCTTTGAGCCAGGCCTCAGGCCTCCATGGTTTGTCCATGGCTGCTAAAATCTCAGGAGCCTGAAGAAGAACACCTTCATAGTTGGGCTCAGCTTCTGAAGAAGGGATGCTTGCCTGAAACTGATAACTTTGGCAGGACACAATGAGGCTGGTTCTGGGAATGCAAACAACTGGAGACTGAAACCAACTGTTGTCACAAGGTGAAAGGTAACATCGAGAGAAAAAGTAAGTCAATGAAAGATACAATTTCTTTCCTTTTTCTCCTGTCTTCCTGTTCGACTCCTCTGGTATAAGCAGAACCTCACAGAAATCCTGTGTCGGAGAAGAGATGAAAATTACAGAATTCCAGCCCAGGTATCACTAAAACAGAGATAGAAGTTGGATATAGAGCTGACAGATAAGTGCTTACTAACTAGCACAGCTTTCTCCTTTGGTTATTCAGTACCATATGCACACTTCTGTGTATATTAATATTTATGCTATTTCACAACAGTAAGATGCAAGTATCTTTCATACAAATATACTCTTATTATTTGTCCAAAAAGGAAGTACACAAAATCCCAACAGATACAGTATCCATCTCTAGGCAATCATCACAGTATCTATTTCTGAGTGATGGTATTTACTCTTTCACAATCATAGTCCTACCTGAATATTCTGTTTCCTAAAGACTCAGTTACAAAATATTTTATTAGTGTGTCCTCATGCTGCTAATCAAGGCATACCATAGACTGGGTAATTTATAAAGGAAAGAGGTGTAATTGACCCAGTTCCACATGGCTGGTAGAAGAGCCAGAGACGTCTTACTAGGCAGCAGACAAGAGAGCTTGTGTAGTGGAACTCCTCTATATAAAACCATCAGATCTCATAAGACTTATTCACTATCACAAGAACAGCATGGGAAAGACTTGCCCCCATGATTTAATTATCACCTATCAGATCCCTCCCACAACACATGGGAATTATGGGAGCTACAATTCAAGAAAAGATTTGGAAGGGGACACAGCCAAACTGTACCAAATATCTAAGATGAAAAAAGACTTACATAAAATACTAAGGTGACGGTTGAGACCTTTTTATACATGCAAATGAAAATATATCTAAATATCTATTTGACAGTTATGCATATATAGATGTATCTGTATCTGTGAAAAGGATAACCAGTAAAGATTAAGATATGTATATGTGCTATAGTCCTCATGGCTGTAGTTGATATTTATAAATTCCTTCTACTATCCTTTTCTCTTAGTCAGCATCTTACTGGTTAATTTGGAGTTCTTTACCTGGCAGAGTTACTGAAGGGTCTTAATCCAAAGTCTTGTCACATGCAGGAAGTTTGATTCCTTTCACTAGTAAGAAAATCTTAGAAATTCTTGAGTTGTCAGATTCTCAGCATTAACTGAATTCACTCAGATGTCACCACACAAGTTTCAGCCTCATTTTTCTTCACAATTCATGTCCTAAATTTTCCTAAGTAGCATAGGAAGTGTAAGATTTCAATTTATATTGAAATTCTACAATTAGCACAAATAAAATATGCCTGTTTTTTACAGAGAAGACAGTCCTGCAGCTACAAAAACTAAGAAATTATTTTGGCTGCCATCGGAACACTTTTGTTCTTTTTTCATTCAAACTGAGAATTAAAAATGCCAAACTTACACTTTCTGTCCGTAGATTCTTCAGTGAGAAGAGGCCATCCCACCCACAGTTTTTGTAGTCATCATAGCTGCTATAATAATTAAGTGTAGAAGACTTAATGTACTTTACTGCATTATAATGAACTAGAAGTGATTATTTTAATTAACTATGATGTGATTTGATGTCATGAATTACTAGTATTTCATTTCCTATTTGCAAGGATGTATTTCATTAAAAGGCATAGACATGACCAAATATATCCCATAATCTTTTGGCATCAAGTGCATTCCAGAAGGAGAAATAGCTTCCATTCCTAAGGCTGGAGTCACAAGAGAAGAAAGGAGTTGGGATTAACTTCATGGGGGAAGATCCCCAAGAAGCTGGGACCCAAACTTTTAATAAGGAAGTAGTATCTGTATTAGCCCAATGAGGCTAACCCTGGAAATATATTAAGAATTTAGAGTCTGTTACACTGCTGCTGCCGGGCTGGAAGGCCATTATCAGGACAGTCCCCATGCAGGAACAATGTTAGGATGAATTGAAGAAGTCTCTTCTTCCCTTTTTCTCCTACTTTTTATCTCCCTATCCTGCCTTCTATTCTCAGAACTGAGTAGGAAGCATCTTAAAAGAAGAAAGGAAAGCTGTGCAGATCAGCACCAGCATTACTAAGTAAACTATAGAAGGGTGGATTTGCAACTAAAAGAGACAATAGCCTAACACAAATACATCCTGAGACCTAAACTATGTGGGCATCCAGTGTAAATCAGGAGCCGTAATCTGTTGCAAGAGTTATACAGGGGAAGACACATTTTTTTGTCATAAAGTATTTACAAGTTAAAAATTCATTTGCATATGCTACATCAAATGAATTTATAAATGTAAATTCCTTAGAACAGTGTTTGATATACGTAATAATTATTGACAGTATCATCTTTATATCGTCTTATATCCTAGCATTAAGCATTGATATACAATTGATACAATAAAGGTTAGAAGCATTTCATATCTGATTTGCAAAATATGTAATCATGAATGAACTTGCTTATAATAAATGTTAGATAATACAAAAATAAAACACCTGCTATTACACCAAAAACAAAACAAAGCAAAAACGAAAATCACTGTTGAAAAGTTTGAGTTGTTTGCAGTGCTGGTAATCAAATGGGTATATTTTAAAGAGTATCCCACAAAATTTCACTATTTGATTATGTTTCATTGTTTAATAATGTCCTTAGCCCACAATTTTGGCAGTTTAATGCTTTCTGTTCCAGAAAAATTGATGACAATTATTGTTTTAAATCTTCCAGAACCTGGGCTTCATTCATCTTTCTGACTGTGTATGTTAGTGAGCCTGTGAGTAAATACTGAGGGAAAACCTGAGAGTAGTTATCCAATTACAGCAAGCTTGTTTGAATGGGATTCTTCTAAACTAGACTTTTTACATACAGAGTCAGAAAGATAATATGCACATACCTATTCTTAGCATTTCTAAAATTAGATCGCTTGCTTTTCAATGATTACAAAATGAACTGACACGACTACTT